CCCGCCAGTGGTGCAGGATACCGAGCCCAGGCGCCAGCCGCGGGGTGTTCGCCCCGGGCTCCCCGCCCAAAGCAGAACGAAAAAGGGGGTGCGGGGAAACGTCGGCCCGTGTCAGACCCTGGCCTTGCAGCGGGACGAGCCAGCCCCAGGGATCCTTGGCCCGATGCTGCCCCTGTTGCTCTAATAGCGCTTAGTTGTGTGGTTGTAATTTCAGGGAGATGATTTATATTAAGAGGGAGAACGTGCAGGGAGCCAGGAACAACTTGGAATGAGTCCTTGCATATTTCTGCAGTTATTTTTGGAGAATCGTCATATGGCAGGAGGTGGGCTCTGGAGGTATCCTTGAGCTCAGCATTTTCTCCACAGGCTGGTTACCCGGGAGATTGTTTTTCTCTCTTCTATCTCCGTGGTTTCTGTACAAAATGGACTATTTCTATTGCTATTTCCGCTGTGGTATTGTTTCCCTCCTGCATGTCTAGCTGTTCTTTCGGTCTCTTACATTACAGACCGACCCTTCTGTGGACAAACAATGGTCTAGGTATGTGCAGCTGAGTATTTGCAATGTGTTCCAGGAGCAGATGATGGAATAGCCCTGTTTGCTTCACCAGTAGACGGTGTGAGGTGAATCCTGATCAGACCCTTCTTCTCTGCCAGGCTGAAATGCTGTGAGAGGTGTGGCTTTTCCAGCATCCTTACAGAGATGGATCCATGTATCAAACTTGTTCCTGCACTTAAATGGTGCTTTCCCTCCAGCTTTCTCCTGCTAGACTTGCCCAAGGTGGTCTTTGCTTCCAAACTGCTCAAGATGAGGAAAGCATGTTGTTACCATGATTTGCACCTTAGAGCTGGCTTACAGACTTCTGCCTCTGTTGCAGTTCACTGTAGGACTCTGTAGCTGTCAGATCCCATTGACTCCAGCTGCTCAGGCTGCAGGTGTGGCCTGTGCTGGGGCTGTGCAGGCTGGGGAGCTGTTCTGATGGCCTTCAGTAGCGTGTCTATATTGCCTTCGATCAAATTTTGAGGTTTAGTAGCATAAGCTGAGGAAAGCCGGGTTTGGGCGATGAACCTGGCAAGAAGGGAATTTCTCTTTAATTATATTTTTTGGCTTCAGTCTGGCTTGGCTGGAGTGGAGCCTGTCTGTGCAGTTCTCACATGGTGCTCAGAGCCATGCTCTAGATGAGATCCCCAGGCTTTGCAGGCTCTGCTGAACGCTGTGTTCAGGCCTGGCAGGAGATGCAAGGCATGTTCTGCAAGCTCTGTGCCTGATCCTGATTCGTAAAGTGTGTGGCAGGTCTACAGCTATGTCCTTGTCTTAAAGTGTTCCTTTCTCATGCAGGGGTGTGTGGGACTTGCCCTGTGTTTGGTGTCAAAGGATTCACACATACCCTGGCTTTGATGCAAGCTGCCTGTGGGTGATGAGTTCTGTCTCCCCTCCATGAGGCTGCTTATCTTAGTGTCTACTATGTACCTTTTTCTGCTTCCCTTTGCTGCTGGAGCCACTGATGGGAACAGAGTACTTAGGTCTCTTTTCTTTATAATCATTGGGTTCTGTTTATTGCTTTAGCAGCAACCTCAGATGGTAATGGGGTCATTAAATCGGACATTGCTGTAAATAGCAGAGCCCTGATTGTGCTGCAGAGCTTGTGTGTTTGTGCTGACAGTAGGTTGGCTTTGGCTGAAGGTGATGTGCTGTTTCTCCATGGCTTTGGTTGCGTGTTGATGTTGTAGCTAGAACTGTCCAGAATTTTAATTGTTATTGTTTTTGAGAAATCATCATTTTCAAAAACTCTCAAATGTTTTGTTTCGGACAAAGCTTCTAAAAAAGGTTTCCAAAGTCCAGTGTTGTGTTTGTGGTCAAAAAACATGCACAGAGGAGAGATATTGAGTTCCTGGCATGTGGGAAGTGAAGATCTTGATACCTTTCCTGTCTAGAGCAGGAAAGGAGCTTGGTGGGTTCCCATTTCCCAGGCTGCTGCCGCGATTGCCACCGTTACAACAACCTTATGGGGTAAGTGTCTTCTGACATGTGGTTGGTGGGCAGCCAAGTGGGGTGGAGAGGTGAGGTTAAAAAAAAAAAAAAAAAAAGGCCTTGGTGTCATTGCAATGTAGAATGGGGAAATTTTTAAAAATCAGTTTTTCTTTCTCAGGAAAGAGAGTTCCCATTTAAGCTCTGGGTGATGGCCCTTGGCCCTGATGAGGAAACGAATCTCTTTATTGATTTACAGAATAGCCTTTCATGCCTTCTGTTTAAAGGACTGAACAGCTAGTCCCTCTGAATAACTGTAGTGCCACTCTTTGTATTGCCTACACTCCACCTTGCTATAACATTGCTGAACAGTTTTACATAATTAGAGGATATTGTCAGAAATGGACCAGCCAGTCAGGTGCCTGATTAATTTTGTCTCTCAAATCTTTCCCTCAGATAATGAACATTTCCAAATTAGGAAATCATGGAGAATGGCCTGTTGGTAAAAGTGCAGGGAGTGGAGCTTGTCCTTTCCCAGACTTGTTCTGTGTTTCCTGCCTTGTCTCGCAGAGAGTGTTTGATCGTCCTTTGCCTTAATTTTATTCAACTATAAAATGATGATATTTCCCTGCTGCCTTAGGCATAGTAATATGCTGCCTGAATGACAACTGGGATACTGATGGTGGAGCATGTGTGAGGAGATGGGGTGAGGACAGGCTTAAGCTTTGTGACAGATCATTGTGGGCGTTTGTATGGCCTGTGTTTAGCTGTATAGTAGACTTCTGTGCGGTGCCTGTCACTTGGAGGTCTGAGCCTATTCTGAAGTCTGAAGCTTTGTTTTGAGCGTAGATATAAAAGAAGAAACACAAAACATCGGAGATCCCCGAGCCCTGTTGCAGGAAGCTCCTGTGCAGGAGGACTTATGCAGTTATAAATACATGACTCTAATACAACAAATAAAAACATGCTTGCACTGAGGCTGTGACAGTGATGGTTGCAAGGCTTTTTGCTCTCATTAGAGCAGTTGTATGACTCTGAGTCAGCAGGTTTTGATTCGTCAGAGCTGTGGTGATAGCGTAAGGGAGACCTGTGAAATTCTGCAGGTAAAGGGAGAAATCCGACTAGAGTACTGGATGGGAAGACCGGGGTGACCCATCCTGGCCTGGGCTCTGTGCTATTCTTTTTGTATCATCATGTTGGGGTTTGAGCCTGGATTCCTGGCTCACACTCACTGTTGGCTCATGCTCCCGCCTGAACCTGGAAGAAGTTGTGTTTAGCTGTGCAAGCTGGAGGGTTGTCTCTCTCGGGAGCTCCCTTTCCATCAGTATGGATTCACCTGTCTTGGGCTGGTTGGCTCTATAAAATTGAGCACTACTCCTGGCAGCAGGTAGCTTGCCAAGTGGACCAGACTTTCTCATGCACGTCACTTTGTTTGGATTACAGGAGATGGGAAGGATGAAGGGTGCAGGCTGTCTTTGGTGGGGGGACGTGTTTCAGTGTTCCCTTGTTGCCCACAATTCATCTCTCTTGTCCTCTCAGCCCTTGAGTGGAAGCTTTTGGGTTGTCCTAAGGACCTAAGTATGTCTCAAAGTGAAGAGGAGGAACATGTCCCTGGTGCAGAGCAGGATATGGGCACAGGCCCTGTGGTTGTCCCTCATCTTGGATGCTAGTAGCTCACTCCACTCTTCCTTGCTCCAGAGAGCTGAACTGTTCTGGGGTGCTCAGAGGCAGCCGTGCCAAGAGCTGTTGGGCTGAGCTATACACCTGGACTGAAAGCTAAGGTTTGCTCTCCTTGTCTTAGAGAGGAAAATATAGGACTGTGTATGGAAAGGGTCACTCATTCTAGAGCCCAGGATGTGTGATTTGGTACAACTACCTCATGGCTGCTTGTCTCAGTAGACAGCTGAGGTTCCACTGAATTGCTAAGAATTAGCTAGTGCCTTACATATGTAGTGAGTATGTGAGTGTGCACATGTGCATGCACATGTGCATTCCCAGATTTGCTGTCTGGGAGTAGCAAACAGACCCTTGAAACCAGAAAGATAATGCTGTGGAAGATGAATTTGCTTTCATCATTTGCTGATGGTCTATCTTTCCGCCTACAAAGGGCAATACTGGCTACCCTGGGGGCTCAGCAGTGCCCCAGACTGGCTCTGCCTGGTACAGGAGCCATTATCCCTGGGAGGAGCCAGGTCTGAATTAATGGCATCTCAGGTCTCCTGTGGTCAGCCAGGGTGGAGAGCAGATTGCAGGGCAGAGAGGAGACCAGGCTGACCCCGTTGTGTTCAAAACACAAGACAAATGAGGCTGAAGCTGCAGATCTGCAGTTTCCAGCAGGTCAGCAGTTTCACTCAAGCATTTGGTCTCTTTGTGGAGATGAAATGTGGTGTCAGTTTAATATCTGATCCATTCCTCTTTCAGAAGCCAGCCTTCTGCCCACTGGCTATAATCAACCCTAGGGTGATCAGCTAGCTGGGTTTTGCTGTGCCATACGGCTCCTGTTTCCCAGTCTGGTCCCCAAGACTGATGCTCCTTTGCAAGGTATTGAAGATAAGGCCAAAATTGGGATCATATGCTGAAGTAGTGTAAAATGAGTCCTGGATTTTAGCTGATACTGAACAAGGCTTTTATGGAACAACGCTTTTGCCACATTCCACCCACTCGACTCCTTTCTCTCTCTGTTCCTACTAACCCACTGCCTCAGCCCTGTTTGCTGACTAGCAGCAGAGCAGAGATGTGTGCTGGTATCCTTCGCTGCGTATCAGATGGAGAGAAAAACACAGGGTGGAGTCATCTCTCTTGCTGCACAAAGAAAACGTTGAGGTATCTTTTCTGCCTTTGCTGGATTTTTAGGTGACTGGGGAGAGATTAAAGAGGATCAGAGGATCTTAACACATTCACAGCCCCTTCCCACCTCGTTTTACTGCGAGTCTATTACTGTCATGGTATCTTTATCTTTCAGAAGATATTTTTAGCTTTTTTTTTTTTTTTTTTGTTAATCAGGCCTTTGAAGGGAAACATGTTTCTATGGGAGAAGCAAATGAACCATTTCACAGGATACTTTGTTATGGGCACGAGGACCTGGAATCTGATTGTGCATTTTTAATGACACATCCCTTTTGTAATCTTGTTTGCTGCAGTTAGTGCCAGCAGAAAGACTTCCTGGCTCAGCCAGGGGCAGCCAGGTATGCACCCTGGAAGGGAAGTGTGGGAGCCAGGATAGGGAGGACAGCAGGGCTGGGAAGGGGAGGATGGACTGGCCATTTGCATCCTCCTCTTGTCGAGCTACTTGGGGAGCATTTTGGGATCATGATCCAGGTGGACATGCTTCAAGGGCTGCAGTGCTGAGAGAGGTCCTCCAGCACTAGAGGGTCTCCTAAAGATCCAGGTGGGGAAGCAGTACTGCAATGAATGATAGACGCAATTAAATGCCCTAATTAGATGTGCTGTTGATCTAGTGCAGTTTCTGCTGGCAGGAGTTTCTGCCAAGCACTGGATGGCATGGCACCTGACAAAGCTCTGGGTTCCTCTTTTCCTTGGGAGTGGAACCTTCCAATGACCAGAGAGAAATCGCAAAGCTCTCAAAGTGGGAGAGCGGTGCTGTGTTAAGGTTTAAAGGATGGTCATATGGCTATATCTGCTGCTTGCTATGGGAGGGTGGAATTTTGAAAAAGAATACAAAAAAAAACATTGAAGCTGAACTTTGGTGTGGGAAACTTCTAGCCTGCGTTTTCAGTGGTGTTGCCTTCTAGGAGAGATTTATTAAAAGTCCTGATAGATGAAGTTCCAGCAAAGAAGATTGGCCGGAACAACAGAAAACATCCTTTCAGCTCTGATCTGGCTCTGGGTATATGCATGCCTGAATATTCCCTCTGCAAATTCATTGGGTCTTTTATCCTGGTCACCAAAATGAGCTTTCTCATAGTATGGTATGAATGCATCCCTGCTGGTGACCTTGGTGTTGTGTTCAATGCAACTCTTTCAGCTGTCTGGAGATGTTTTCTGGGAAAAAAGGGAAATACAGCTAGCTGCGGGATGACTATGTCCGCATTTCAGCTGGTTTGTGGCAGGCATAGTTGGAAAGACTAAAGGAATTACAGGAGGAGAAAATGTAGTTGTCCATGCTGTGTTTTGGTTGGGATAAGGTGACTTCCACCATAGCTCTAAGTCTGCCTGGCCATTTTTGCACTGTTGCAAGAGCTTTAGACCTCAATCCTATCTCCTGTATGGCTATTGTTGGCTGCAGCATTCCTATGTATGCAGGCAGCTTCCCAGTTTAACCTTGGGGGCTGGACTGCCTGTGACGTTATGGTCCGTGGTCACCTCCAGTGCTGGCTGGGCTGCTCCTTCTCAGCTCACCAGAGCTGATGTGGTCCCAGTATGGGGTGGAGCCATGCACATCTGAACCCCTCCCTAGCCTTGCTTAATGCTCAGCCAAGCTGCCCTGGGGCTGCCATGCTTCTCTATGCCATTTATGTTTCTGCTCTAGCAGACAAGCAAGGGGGATGGTGTGAATCCCTGCCCCCTTCCTTGCCCTTTGTTAAATTGATCAGCATCTTTGCAATGCACTGGCCTAGATTTCAGTGAGCTGGGCTCAACATACAGCTTCCTCCTAAGCCTAGTGAATGGCTGAGCCTGCCGGTGTTGCTGACTGGGATCTGCCCGTTTGTCCAGCTGCTTCAGCTTCCTGGCTTCAGTCAGGTATCCCGGTGACTGCTTTGACAGCCAATACACATGCTTGACCATTGCAGGGTTGGGCTGGCTGTTTGCTATGGGATTGTGACAATGTGGGTCACTGTGGGATGTTTTCAAGCCCAGAGTAATCATCTCGGCTGAGATGGTGTGCACATCAACACAGTGCCGGGGAGAGATGCATGGCAGGAGATCTCAATGCAGTCTAGCACAAATTCGTGCTGGCAGGAGCATTATGAGGAGCTGCTTGTTTGCAGGGGAAGCTTTCAGGCTTGGGGAAGGATCTTGCTCCCAGTTGTCCATATTCTCAGAGCATTTCATTGATATGATATTAATTGATGCAGTAGCTCAGATCTCAGTGTCTCCCTGCTCGGAGACTGTTGAAATGCAGCCAGCCTCAGTAAAAACCACTTCACACAGCAGCAAAAGACAGGAAGGAAAGTCTGTGTCTAATTGAGAGTGCAGTGGCTTTGTTTGGCAGCACGTAGATACCAGTGCTGTAAAGCAGACAAGTTGGGAGTGTTTGGTGCCACCACCCTGCCTTCAGTGACTACATTCTCAGTGCTCCCTCAAAGGGTGGACACAATGCAGCCCTGGCAAGCTCTGGATCCTGGAGCTGCCAACACGATTCCCCTTTTTCTGGGTCTGAACAAAAGCCTGCTGCTCTCACAGCTGGCTGTTTATCTGCCTTCTGTCTTTTTTTGCAGGCACCCACAAAAATCACTGAGCTTGGGAGAACAGGAGCAAGGCCATGGAGGCTTGTCTCCATGCTGCACTGATGGAGGGAGGAGATGGGGAAAGAGTCCCACAGATCCTTGTACATTTGTGTGACCTTGTCTTGGTGAGAGCAGGAGCTGCTGGTGTTTGAGTCTGCTCCCAAAATCAGCTTGGCCTGTTGGGGCATCTGTGCGTCCTTCCTGCTGGGAAAGGGCTGAGCTGTTTTCCTCATGGAGCCTTCTCTCGGGACTATCGTTTGGCTCATTAGCCTCTGGGCAGCTGCATCTGTTTGAGAAGAGGCAGATGAAGGGGAAAGAGAGGACCCCAGTGGGAGCTGGGATCAGTAGTGTGTTGGCACGTATGCAACAACATGTGAGAGTAGCCTCATGCTCCTGATGCCAGTGCCTGTGCTGCCAGTCGTGATCTGCATGCATCCCTTGACTGCTGTGCGCTCTCTGTGTTGGAGCAGGCAGGGAACGCTTTCTGTGCTTAGCTGTGTGCTTGTGGGAGTGTCAGGGGAAATGCTATTTTCAAGTTTGAAATAATAGCTGGAGCCCTGAGTTCAAATCCTATTCAGGGCTCTAGTACAAAGGCTCTTGAGCTGGCCTGCACTGGCCTCGAGATGCCTGCTGTTAGTTGCATGAACGGGCAGAGAACTGGGAGTTGCAGGTACAGCCAGTGCTGTCGCCAGCTGGGTTATTACTATGCTAATAGTGCTGTGTCTGGGAGTCCAGGTAATATTGTGGTGTTTGCCTTTGCACTGTGACTGGCCACAAGTGTCTTGATCTTCAGGGTGGCTGAACTCTGGAACAGACTGCCCAGAGAGGTTGTGGAGTCTCCATCCAAACCCAGCTGAACACACTCCTGGACAACCTGCTCTAGCTGACCCTGCTTAAGCAAGGGGGTTTTGACCCACATGTTCTCCAGAGGTACTTTCCAACCTCATCTATTCTGTGATTCATTTGGACACAAAATATGAAGAGGGAGGTGTGCCTGGGTTTTGGTATCTGAGCTGGGCATCGCTCAACACTCAACCTGCCGCAGCCGATCATGCACTGTCAACTGTGGCGTTTGGTGAGTGCTGTAGGGAGCCTGCTGGCTGGGGCTGAGCCAAGCTCACTGAGATCCCTGACTCCCCAGACGTGTTTGGATACCTGGGTCTTGGCTTCGAGGATGCCTCACATTGTGTCCCAGCCTTGCTCCAGAATACAGCTAGACAGCAAAGCAAGTAAAACTGGTCTACAAAGTGGCTGTGAAAGAATCCATCCCCAGTGGATATGGATATACTGGAGTGTTTTCTGACTCTAGCATGTAATGAGGTTCTTGCAGGAGTTCTCTGACCATACTGAACTTGCATTTTTCCTGATGGGACAGTGGCAAACAGTTGGGGAAGGGGCATGGCATACCAGGGGATGCATGTAACTCCCTCCTCCTTCAGCTATAGTTCTCATGTAGATCATTCAGGGGTGAAATTTCTCCCTGCTCCAAGGTGAGTCTGTTTCCCTGCAGGTGCTGAAGCTCCTGGCCTTAATGTATCTGGCTGCTGCCAGATAGGACAGCAGAGGATCCTGCTCTCATTCAGAAGGGCAAGGTCCAGAGCCAAGTGCAGTAGCTGGCCCAGCTGCTGGGCTGTTGGAGATCCACAGTACTAAGGCTTGAGGAAATGACACAAGAAGGTGCATCGTGTTGCTGAGGACTCTGTCACAATAGAAGTGAGGCAGCTTTTGTGCACTGAGCAAGTTCTTGAGAAAGTAGCTGTGGATCTGTGTCATTCCTGAGGTGCCTAAGCCTGCCCTTAGCATCTCCATGCAGGGCAGGCTGTGTTGTATTAAGTACAGCTGATGGTCACTTATGTGGAGAGAAATGATTTCACTGAATCCATATGAGTTGTGGAACGAGTGAGGTCTAGGACCTTGAGGCTGGGTGCTCTGAGAGGCTTTCATTTAGCACCAGTACTTATGGTGCTGCATAGGCAGATCATCCTGCCTGCTTTGTATTTGTGCTTACCAGTGGAGGCAGCCACAGACTGCCTGTGGGCATGTCAAAGGTACCCTTGAAAATTAACCCTTGTTGTTAAAGCAGGACCTATCCTAGCTGCTCTGTAGGACATTGGTTCTTTCTTCAGTAAACGGTAGTGAATATTGGGCTTCAGCTCTTCCTTGGGTCTGATAGACTCTCCTTTATTTTTTTGTCACCCCATTTGATGTAGTTGTAAACTAAAAAGTTGTCTCTCAAACTGCTGTTGAAGAATTCAGTTTGCTGGGCGTTTCCTATTAAAACTGCCCATTTTACCAATGATATACCAAACCTGCCCGTCTCTTTGTGGATGGGTAAGGCAGGCTGGTTCCTTGTGGCTCATGCATCATTACCCAGCATAAGAATCCTGCAGACCAGATGTTGCCCTCAGTGACTCTGATGTGGGCTATCATTTTCAGAGGAGTCATGCAGGTGAAGCGTAGGGACGGAAGACAGTGGCATTACACAGATGGTCCTGAAATGAGAACTTGGGTAGCAATTAGCCATGCAAGCCAAGAAAGTATCCGTTTCGCTTCTCAGAGGTATGTTGGTTTTGCAGCACTGCCTGTAGTAAATATTTGCTTTTATCACTTGAATTAGCAAGGGCTGGCTCTGAACACATGCGGTGAGCAGACCTGCTGATTTAGAAGGTGCTGTTCTCACTTCAGTCTCTGAAAGCAAAGCTGCATATAAAGTAATCCGTAGCTGAAATTCTCTAGTGAGCGGATTTGTATGGAATCTAAATGCAGTGTTCGAGCAGTTAGGGCACCATCTTGTGATGAAATGCTTGGCTAATGTCCTTCTGTGTGCCTGTCGTCATTCTTAGGAGGATTTTTTTTTTTTTTTTAACCACATCCAATTTTTCTTTTCAGGTTCTGAATTGTGCCTGAACAGAGTACTGAGAGCAGCCCCTGGAAGCAGCGTGAGTTTATCCTGAAAGCCTTTACTTTCCTTTCCAAATTCAACGTGAGGCTGAGTGAGTTTTTTTTTTTTTTTTTGGTACTGCAGAAGAGTTGCACTGACTGGTGGCAGGAGATTGGAGGTGGTGTTGCAATATGAAAGAGGCTTGTGTGGTGAATGGTTCTTTACCAGGAACCCCCTGGAGGCTTGGAAATCTGGCCTGCTAACTGCTGAACTGCAAGACTGCTGGGATTGGGCTTTTTATGTCTTTTGTGTGTGTGTGTTTTGAGGTTTTTCATATTTAGTTAGGAGTTAAGCAACAGCCCTTTTGCCAGCAGAAAGGCTCCTACCAGCTGTCCGAGTCTTTGCATGCTGACAAAGCTGTTCTTGGGACATCACACTTAGTGTTAAGTTTCTCCTTTTTTTTTTTTTTTTTTTTTTTTTGGCGCAAGGAATTTTGGGGAGGATGGTGTATTTGCAAACCAGCAAAACGTGACATTGCCATTTCACAAAATGCAATTTGAATTTAGGGTGTAGGTTCCACAGCTTCAGAAGGGGCTGGGCAAGGTTGGCATAAGACTTACTCCAGGAAAGCTGATACCACTGGCAGCTCAGAATGGAAGACGGTAAAGGAAAGCAGTAGATCTGAGATATAAAATGAAATTGTTGCAATGCCTGAAAGGATCTAGAGCCTCTTGGCCTGGGCCTTCATGAGAAGGCTTTGAGTCCTTGGGTGCCCCGCTGGCTGGATAGCTCTACTCTGCTCCAGTACCTTAGTGCGCAGTGAATTTGTACTGTGCAAAGACCCTGGTGCAATCCTTATGAACTCAGTTGTGAGCTTTCTCCCATGTGTCCTGCAGGCAGTGCAGGGATAGAGCATTACCTGTGAGGAAGACTCTAGATTCTGCTCTAGGTCTCTGACTTGCAAGCTGACCTTGGGAGGGAGGTCAGCAAAGTAGCAGCACTACCCCAGTTTCTAGCTCCAAAATGAGAGTAAGATATCATTGTCTGTAAAACAGGGACATCTGTTGTGAACTGAAAGCGTTTTGTTGAAGACATGCTGGTTGTGGCCGCTGCTGTTTGCTGCTTTGTGATAATCTGCAGCATCTCAGGTGATGTGCGAGTCCCACATGGGGCTGAGCCTCCCAGAGTGTTTCCAGCTTGCTGTGCAACCTGATTCCTCTCTCCACTCAGGGAGGGAACAGGCATTAAACTCCAGCCTTTGGACAGTGTGTGCTGTATCAGATGGTGGCTTGCGGCTCTCCCATGGCACTTCAGTCCTTTCTTATAGCTGTCCTGGGTTCTCACCTAGATGACAGAAGTGCATTGTTCCCTAGCGTGCTTGGTGTGCACCAAGTGGGGCTTGCTGAATCTGCTGCTTTCTGCTCCTCAAGCCCGGGACTGAATTCTGCCCACACGATGCAAAGGGCTTGGGTCACTGCCCGCTGTTGGTGGAGGCAGGTTGTGCTCTGGATGCAGGCAGAGGATCCATGTCTTTGAAGAGAGCTATAAATGGACTGCTGCAGATGTGGCCCTCGGGGCTAGAGATATTTCTGACTCTGAACGGGGCAGCTTGTTAATTTTTATAAGCAGTTTCTCATGAGTACTTCTAAGAGATCATCCCTTGAGGAAGGTGCTTTGCAGGTCCAACAAAATGCCAGCCTGGTCTGCAGCTCTGCTGCATCTGAGGGCGTGTTCTGTCTGCAGCAGGTCTGAAAAAGGAGGAAGAGGGCTTCACTGGAAACAGTAAGAGAAAGGAAAAGGACAGCATTTCTCATCTGGTCCCTTTTCGGTATGCCAGAGAAAAATTTGGGTGCTGGGAGGCCAGTTTTGGTGTTTAGGGGGAAGCAGAGGTGTAGTCTCAGCTCCAGCGCTGACTTGTGTGTGACTCTGCATCCCTGTGTGCTGCTGTGGGATGCTCCATTGTGCTGTGTATGAGGGGTGCGTTTCTCCCCAGTGCTGTGTAAGACAAGGGCAATTGGGATTACCCTGCAAAGCTGACTTCTCCTTCCTAGCTATGAGCACCTTTTTTCCTCCCTCCCTTTGGAGGCAAGTGTCTTTTCCCTTCTTGAGCATCTTGTACCTGTTCTGCATGAAATCCTTTCTTTTCCTGTATATTGTGGCTCTCCTTGACAAATACCAGAGAGCCCTACTGTCTTCTCTTCCCTGTCTCACTGCATATCTGAGCAGGGCTGTGCTTGAGGAGGGTTAGGAGGAGGAAGCTGTCCTGGGTGGAAGGATAGTAAAAATCAGATAAAAGGAGGTGAAGCTTTGATCATCTCTTTTGGCTGATGAAGAGAGAAGCTGAAAGATGCTCATCTGTAACCCTTTTGTACCCAGGAGATTGATGATTGTGATGGAGGCTGCATCCCCTAGCTTATTGCCCCGCAGGAATAGAAGAGATTTCTTGCATTTCTGGTGAGAGGCCATTCCTGCCCATTAGGGGATGAAGAGGAGTGGATTTACCAGCCCTAAAGCAGTCACCAGCCACAGGCTGTCTCTGCTGACAGGAGAGCAGCCCTTCCTTGCCTCTGCTGACTCCCATGGTGTCCACGGCCCTCTGCCAGTTTGTGAAGGTGCCTGCCGTTCTGGACGCAGCATGTGGGTCCCAATGGTTGACCTTCCAGGCAAGGGGAGCCTTATCCTAGCCAGGGCCTGGGATCTTGCCTCCTCCCTGCTCTGTGGGGCTGGATAAACAGCACGGCTGCCCTTGTTGGGGCCAGGTAGTGAAGGGGCTGCTGAGGAGTTTGAGTCCCATGGGTGAGGTCTGCTAGTGGGGTGAGGAGTGGGGCGGGAGGATGGATGAAGAGCACAAAGAAACCACCTCTGCTGCTTCTCTGTGCTTGGTGTTGCCTTGCAGTGACTGCAGAGCTGGGGGTTGGGCCTTGGTACCTGATGATCCCCTTGCTGTTACTTATGACCTTAGTGTCCCCAAGTGCGGCAGAAGGTTGGTGGCCCAGGTCCAGTTGTGTTTGGTTTCTTGTTTCTCTTTTTTGCTTGTATCTCAGTAACAGGACTTCCCAGCTCAAGGCACAGACACACAAGTGACTTGGAGAAAACACATGCACATTAGAGCAGAACTAATTTGACACTATCTGCTTGAGGCAACTCTGAGAAGACTTGCTGAGCCATGTAGCATCAGCTGCTAGGGAAAGCACAGAGCCCAAGGGCATGAACTCCAGTTAGGGCAGGTAGAGAGCCTTCCTGTCCCATGTCACTGGTACAGCACAGGTAGCCTGGGCAGGCTGCCACTTTGTGCTGAGGGAAGTATTCCAATGCTTCTGGAAGGGTTGGTGATAGTCCTGTCTTGACGTGTTTATCATCCTATGGATGAGCCTCTTATCTCTGGTTCATTCTGCCACTCCCTCACAGCTGAAATATCCTATCTCATGAATGTCGCATAGGGTTTGCTATTGGATATTGGCAGGCAGAGATGAAGGGAAAGGGCTAAAGTCTCCTTGGTAGAGTTTCCTCTGAGGAGATGGTTGTTCTCCTAGGAAGTGGTGCATAAAACATGATTTTAACCTTGGAAGAAATGGCACTTTTTATCTACTGCTTTAGACCCTGAAGAGGATTATTTGGGGGCTACAGATCAGCAAACTGTTACTGTACAGCATTTTCTGGCTGACCTGCCCAAGAGCTTGAGACTTCCTTGAAGAAGAAAGAGAAGATAGTAGAAGGCTGGGTTGAATATGTGCCTGAGCTGGGCTCCCTTTATTGGCTCCTCTGGCTATAGGTATTCTCTTTACCTATAGCTTGCTCAAGCTACTGTTCCCCTTCCACCACTCTGCTTGTAGGTTGGACTTGTAGTTTCCAGGATGTCTTATCCTATGTCCTTGCACGTAAGGCATCTCATCTCCATTGGCTGCTACATCCCAATGCAAGGCAGCTAACCCCATGGTCCATGCTTTCCTGTGCTTGCTTTTTCATGTGAGCAATTCTGTAGTTGCTGCAGAGGCAGCAGGTGACTTGGAAGTGGGGAGAGGAGCTGCTCTCTGCAGTCACCATCCAGAGGAAGAGCAAAAGAAGAGCGTTCCCTGATGATGCATGGTCCAGACAGTTTGCAACACTCCTTCCTGCTTCTGATGTGTGGCCGAGATGTCTTTACTTGTCTGGTGCTTCTCAATGAGTCAGCTGCCCTCCCTGCTGTCGCATTGCATATCTGCTGTGGGGTGAGTTGAGAGTCTTTGCTTTTCTTTCCTAATGCACTAGTTTTGCTCTTTGAAAGGGCTCAGAAATACTGTAGTAGCCTTTGTTTCAGTTGGCCTCCCTCTGCTATAGCTAAGCTTTTAACATTAGGCACCTTCTGTCTTGTTCATGTAACATCTACTTTGTTTGCGTGCTGCTACTAAGCAGCCCTGATCTCCACTCTGATGCCTTCCCTCTGTGACCTGTAGAGCAGGAGGGAAGGAAGGGCTGCAGTACCCCAGGGCAGAGATGCGTGATTGCTGTGTCTCCCTGGGGAGCCTGGTCCTCACCTGTACTGATGGCTGCAGACTTTCTGGCCAAGGTATTTCTCAGGCCCAGAAGGGGCAGTGGGAGCACCAAGGCCTATGAGATGGCACACAGGGGCCAGCCAGGCAAGGCCAGCTCTGCACCCAGGCTGCCAAGGACACAAGGGAACTCCATCCCCAAAGCAGAGTACCCAGCACTGCTAGGACTTGGCACTGAGAAAATGTAGCCCCAGTAATTCTGCTTGCAGCAGTTTCTAAGGGTGGTGAAGCACCAATGAGCACAGAGCAGCTGCTGAGGTTGCTTCCCAGTGCCTCAGGCCGGATTAGCTCCTTACTGTAAGTATTGGCCCAGAACATTGCACTAATCATCTCTTTTACACCCTCACTCTGTTTTACAGATCACTTGAAAAGATGAAGCTGCTCTTGCCTCCCTGCTATTATTACACTTCCCCATGCAGCAGAGGGAGCCTGGCTTGGAGCTGGCTGGCCCAGGGAGCACTGCCAACCACCTTACCCTGGAATGGTCTGCAGGCAGCCCAGAGGGCAGCCCTCTTCCTTCTGCAGGAGC